TGACACCATTTCCACAACTCATTCATTGTTAAAGCTTGTTCTCTCTAAAATTTCCTTGATAAAGTTCCCATTGACTTTTTAATTGACCAGATCTGGTGGTCTTTTTTCAAAAACTGTTTATTCTTTTCTGTTAACTATAATATTTTGATTCCATTGACCAGTCCCTATGTTTGAAATTTTCTTCCTCCATAACCCTTTTTCAGGTTACCTTCTCCCTCTCTTGTCTTCTTCCCTCTTTTCCTCATAGACTTATTCTCCTAAATGTAATCTTCATCTTTTTGTTGTTGTTATTCAACATTGTTCTCAGCTGTCGAATGTGTGGATAGCCAATGTTGGCAGAATTAACAGGTGGTAAGATAGCATAACGGTAGAGTTCTGACTCCGGAAGTTCAAATCTTGACTCCACCACTTTCTAGCTATATGACCTTGGACTTATCCTCTCTCTGCCTTGGTTTTCTCATCTGTGAAATGGAGATTATAATAATAATACTTTTTAGGGTTATTTTGAGTATTAGCTAGGTTAATATAAAATGCTTAGAATTGTACCTAGCTCATAGTATTATAACTATTCATTAAGCTTTTGTAAAATATACTTCCCTTTCCTCACCTGTTGTTTTAGTCCATTCAGGCTGTTATTACAAAAAATATCTTAAATTGGGTGGCTTATAAACAACAGAAATTTATTTCTTATAGTTCTAGAGGCTGGGAATTCCAAGATCAAGGCACCAGCAAATAGATTTGGTTTCTGGTGAGGGCTTGCTCTCTGGTTTATCCATGGTGCTACCTTATTGCATCCTTATTACATGGTGGAAGGGGCATACGAGCTCCCTCAGGCTTCTTAAATAAGACCACTAATCCCATTCACAAGGGCATGACCTATCACCTTCTAACAGCCCCACCTCTTAATACTATTATATTAGGGATTAGGTTTCAACATATGAATTTTTGAGGAGACAAAAACATTCAGACCACAGCACCAGTCCACCTCAGAATAGGTGATGGCATGGGTTTCTGGATACTTTGTATTAAGCAGAATAACCTTGAGGTAATCTTACAATGCTCTGAAATTATTAATGTATCACTCAAAGTGATAGTCTTTCCAGTTTCTTTTTCTGTCAGGGAAATAAATCTTAAACAGCTCCAGGTTTGTTTTTTCATATGTTGTTTCATTCATTCATTCATTCATTCATACATTTTACAAAAAGCTTTGCTCATATACTATGTGCAGGCAATGCAGCAAAACACAAACTGGCAAAAATCCTTGCCTGTTTGGATCTTATATTTTGGTCAAGATGCAAGACAATTAATACAAATTAACATACATGATCTGTCATGTGGTGATTCGTGCTAATGAGAATAATATAGGTGGAATGAGGGGCAGAGAGAAAGGTGGGAATAGAAGGGAGAAGCTTTATAATTTTGGTTAGGGGTAGGGGGGAAAGGTTAGTGCTGTTAAACTTTTATTTTTTTATTTGAAAAATAAAAGCCCTGATTTATATTGTTTGCCAATCTTTGTGATAAATAGATTATCTATCATAATTAACAAAACTATTAGGTATTTAATATTATAAGCCATTTTGCAGATAGGAAACTGAGACGCAGTGAGGTTAAACAGTTTATCACATAGCTTACAGTGGGGGACAAGGATTTAAACCTAAGCTGTTTATATCCAAAGCGTTGGTTCTTGACTATGGTGATTTGGTTCCCTCAAGGCACATTTGGCAATGTCTGGAGACATTTTGGTTGTCACAACTGGAGTTTGGAGGTGGACAGTCTGCTAATGGCATCTAATGGGTAGAGATCAGGGATGCTGCTACCCTACCTACATACACAGGATACAGTCCTCCACAACAAAGAATTATCCAGGCCAAAATGTCGCTGAAATTGAGAGACCTTGTCCTAGAGCCTAAGCTTTTAATCACTGTGCTATAGTCAGGGTGGCAGTGCCTTTTTCTCTTTAACTTATTTAAGGTTTCCACTAAATTCCTAGTTAGTTTGATTTGGAAAATTATATTAAAAGTAATT